CATTTGTTTTTGAATTTGAGTATATGGTTTTCCTGTGCACAGAGGGATGAAGGTGATGGTGTTACTTTGGACAGTTTTTGGAGGAATCACGGACTATGGAAGCACAAGTTTTTATTCGGTTTTAGAACAAGTTTTATTATGTTGTTGCACTCGAATATGATTTAAGATAAGCTTTGTACTCTTTATGGTGTTGTTGGTTTTACCTTAAACTCATAACTTAAAACGTAATCCATTTTGTTTTTTATCATTCCATGGTTTATCTTAAAGCTCATAACCTGAAACATAGTTTATGATCATAAAAGAGAGACATCACGGCCACACACACAAACATGTTCTTCAAACTACGAAGCTCCATTTTGCAAGCTCGAATCTTCTTTTCAACAACAGCCTCACAAGTCTTGTCTCCATTTCCAGAGTTTCGATCTCTGATTCACAAGCTCCTAATGTCTTCTGTAGCTTAGCCGAACCTCTTTCGATGTCATCTACTTTTCCTATCAAATCCTCAAACTCTTCAACCATACACTCATCAGTCCACTTAAACACATGAAACCATTTATCCTGCATAAACANGATACCAAATCAATGCACAATTTAAACACAATTACTCTTCTTTCTCTTCTCTAGTCTTAATTCATCAATTCCCCTTTCTAGTCACAATTTAAACACCATTTTNCACAACANAAATCTATTTCACATAAGAAAATACATAGACATACCTCTTCTGATCCGTATTGACAAGCATGAAACAATCTTCCCGGATTTCTAGCGGTCNTAGNCGTTTTCATCACAACCGCTCCTCCACATCGACATGTCTTAGGGAAGCCTCTTCGAAATTCATACATTGTATCAGGCTCGTTTCCTCTTTCTCCTCCCAAATCCTANTTCATCAAATCCTAAATTCCTTGAAATCTGCTTCGCGTTTGTGTTTTCGTGGAAGAGTTTTTGTCGAGAGAGATTGTCGTGAAAGAGATGAATGAGAAAATTAGGGATTTTAATTTTTTTCCCCAAATCAAAACGACGTTCGTTTTGATCACGTGTACAAAACGACGTCGTTTTACACCAACAAAACTGATCTGTTAATCCACGGGTCATCCAGGTCAGCGTTCCGTTAACGTTGACCAACGTTGACTTCGTCGGGGTCTGAATCAACAACAATATCGCGTGTTTGGGTTTTGAATTTGAATTAATTTGTGGTTAAGAGTTAAATTGACCAATGTTACAAGTTGAGGTCCAAAAACACCCGATGGCAATAGTCCTGGTCCAAAAAGGCCATTTTCCCGATGAATTC